GCCAAAATTTCGCCCCCTATAGTCAGCGATGGCGTCAGCTGACTATGCCGAGGCGCCGGCAACCACAGCCACTCGGTCTTGGAAGGGTTGAGCCTGAGTCTGTTTCTCCCCATCCAGACCCGTACGGCCTCCAGGCAACGGGCCATCACGTCAAGGGCATCGTTGGGGTGGCCCGGGGTGGAAATGTACAGCTGCGTATTGATTGATTGATAGATAGATAGATAGATAGACAGACAGATATTGATATAGATATTGATATAGACAGATATTGATATAGATATTGATATATATAGAGAGAGACATATAGATATACATATATAGATATATAATATATATAGAGAGAGAGAGAAAGAGAGATATTGATTGATTGATAGATAGATAGATATTGATATAGATAGATATTGATATAGATAGATATTGATATAGATAGATAGATAGATAGATAGATAGATAGATAGATAGATAGATAGATAGATAGATAGATAGATAGATAGATAGATAGATAGATAGATAGAGACAGCTATCACTTTTATATATATATATTCTCCCTTTTGTAAGCATTCCAGAACTGTTTTGGATTTGGACAGCCCTAGAAATGTGTTTTAGTTATTGATAGCTCGATAGATTTAAATCCATTAAATGGATGAATAAAATGGCTCCCCATGTATTTTATAATTAAGAATTACAGGTCTCTGGGAGATGCTTTGGCTGCTGCCTACGACACCATGGCAACGGATACAGTACCCCAAGCCACTTGCCAGGATCTGTTTTTTAAAAAAGGATTATTTTTTTAAAAAAAGATTAAACTCCACAAGTAAACACAAAAACAAGGAAAGGAAGAAGCAAACAGAGGGAAGCAAAAGCCAAAGGGAGATTATTTTAACCCCAGGCATCTGAATGCATCTTTTCTTCACCATGTTTGATTTTTTTTTTTTCCGGGAACAGGAAAAAGCAACATATTTGGCGCAGCAAGGATCATTTTGCCTTTCGCCAACAAGCAGCATGTCCATATGATGGCCAAAACAAGACAACATTACATAAATAAGAGCTGGTCAGCCTGTTGTCCACTGTTTTTCAGTGGGATTATTTTTAAGAGTTTTTTTAAACGCAGGCACAAAATGAGAAGAAGGGCTTCAAGAGAAAAGTCATTAAAGAGAAAGTTTAATAAGAGTTCAAGATTGAAGTGTACAGGTGGTCCTTAACTTACGACCACAATTGAGCCCAAAATCCCACTTCCTCCTAGCTCTGATGTTGTTCCCTAGTTGGGCCATGAAACGTCTGCAAGAAAGCCATCAAGCTCAGAGAGCACAAAGACTCCAGAACTGTCCTCCTCCTCCTCCTCCTCCTCCTCCTCCTCCTCCTCCTCTCCATTAATCCCATTCCCTTCTAGCCCTGATGATGTTCCCTAATTGGGTCATGCAACGTCTGCAAGAAAGTCATCAAGCTCAGAGAGCACCAAGGACCCCACAGTCGTCATCGTTGTCCTCCTCCTCCTCCTCCTCCTCCTCCTCCCTATAAATCCCATTCCCTCCTAGCACTGATGATGTTCCCTAGTTGGATCATGAAACATCTGCAAGAAAACTACCAAGTTCAGAGGGCACCAAGGACCCCACAGTCACTGTCCTCTTCCTCCTCCTTCTCCTCCTCTTCCTCATAAATCCCATTCCCTTTCCTTAACTTACGACCACAATTGAGCCCCAAATCCCACTTCCTCCTAGTGCTGATGATGTTCCCTAGTTGGGTCATGAAATGTCTGCAAGAAAGCCATCAAGCTCAGAGAGCACCAAGGACCCCACAGTCGTCGTCGTCGTCGTCGTCGTCGTCGTCGTCGTCGTCGTCCTCCTCCTCCTCCTCCTCCTCCTCCTCCTCCTCCTCCTCCTCCTCTCTATAAATCCCATTCCCTCCAAACACTGATGATGTTCCCTAGTTGGGTCATGAAACGTCTGCAAGAAAACTACCAAGTTCAGACGGCATCAGGAACCCCTCATTTCCACCCTGAGCAACAAATATTCTCCTTCTATCAATTTATAAACCAATCAACTAAATTCAAATCAACACCACGAGGGCGGCAACTCGAGGGATGCGGCCCAGTCCCATTCCTTGGGATCTCCTGACTTCTTCTCTCTCACCGTCCCGTCGAGCTCAGCTCCCCTGTTTTATTTAATAATATTTTTTTTAAGGGAAAACCAGGGGCAAACTTTTCGGTCTTCTCACCCCACCATTTCGGTTATCTTGGGGGCAAGCGAAGAGACAACGCCGATTCCTGCAAAGGTGGCTGTGTAAAACAAGAAGGCGGCCCGCCCCATGTCTTAATCGTAGGTACCTGTCCAGGTAATTGACAATGTTGGGGTTCTTGTTTTCCCTCATGACGAGAATTTCATTAATGATCAGCTCCTTCTTCGGCTGCTGCTGCAAATTCATCTGTTTGATGGCAACCTAAATTTTGGAAGGGGAGGGGAAACGAAAAAGGAAAAAGCAATCCATCAATCTGGTCGCGAGAATCACAATTCCAATGGTGGCAGAAGATATTAGCTGGAAAATAGTAAACAATAAGGGATTAATCTGTTTCATACTGAGGACTTAGACTTTCAGGTGAAATGAAACGAACTATTAGGAAATAGGTTTGAACTATTGATTAGCCCAGATAATATAGATGATGGACTTGAGCTCACAAAGAATACTCTATTATTAAGGTGGTGATGCACTAGGGTGAGAAATAGAAAACGTTTACGAAATAGAATAAGAATATATTTAAGTAAGTAATATGTGCATTTTAGATATTATAATTTTTATGAAGTGAGATAAAGGAAATTTGGGTTACTCGAAACTCAAATACTATGGATATTAAAGGTTAAATTGGAGTATTGTAATTAAAAACTAAAAAATAGGTAAAACTTAGTAACAGGATAGGGATTGTTTATGAAGCTCTATTAAGGTATGTATAAGCAAAAAAATGTATTGATAAATGTGATAATGAAGTTTTCACTGAGGTTTGATACAATTAGAAATTTACTAGCTTAAATATGATATAGCAAATGTTAAGGGAAACAGAGAAGAAATATTTGATGATGTAACCTGAGATATGTACTAAAGATTTTGTTATTGAACTATTGATTAACCCAATCACCACGTTGCCTTCCAAATACTTAAATGTAAAACTGGAAAACCAATAAAATATATAAAAAAAAGAAAGAAAGACGGGCAGTCCTCAATTTACGACCGTAATGGAGCTTGCCCATGAAGTTGTAAGTTGTGGCGGTCGTTAGCAAGACGTCCACGTGATTGCCTCATTAATGACCACAATCCTGGCTCTCCCATTGCTGTCGTTAAGTGACTTTATGGGTCGTTAAGAATTTTTTTATACCGACCAATATTCCAAATGTGCTCTTATCGAAGCATTATAAAGTTATATTAACACATTACGTGATCTTGATTCTGTCCCTCTGTGGTAGCCCCTCAAATATTGGAAGGCTGTTATCATGTCCCCCCTAGTCTCGCTTTTCATTAAACCGGACATACGCAATTCCTGCAACTGTTCTTGATATGTTTTAGCCTCCAGTCCCTTTCCAGTCCCCTCTACCTGCACCCCATCTCACACCTGTCGGAGCGTTTACCTCTTGTGCAGTTGCTACATCCATCGCTGTGTAAACCGTGCCTGAAGCCCTGAAGAGCAAAAGAGAAAGAAGATAAATCTCTTTTAAAAAAGCTTCAAATGTCATGTATAAGCGTTGATAAGCCCATCTGCAGATAAGCCGATTCTCAATTTTTAACCAAAATTGTCAGAGCATGCAGAGTTTTATTGCGCTGAGGTAACCCAGGAGTAAATACAGTAAACAGTGGTTTGTCTTAAATGGTGGTTTATATTACACACTACCTGCAAAGATATACAAGGAACAATTACATACACATGGGGATAATTCAGCAAACTCCAATACACAGCAATTACAGCAGTCAAATGGAGGAGAGAAAGACTCCAGCAAAAAACTTCCCTTTTATACTCAGACTCTTAAAGGGATACAGACTCCTACTGAGTCATTCCTAACATTGCATCATTCATCTCACATTATACAAGCTGGCTGTTGTGATTCCGTGCCAGCCAGTGGACCCGGCAGCTGAGTCCGGGGAATCAGAGGAGGAGGAGGAGGGGCCTGGAGAGCCATCAGAGTCGGAGGAAGGCTCTGATGAGCTCCAGGACTTACAATCTGATGAAGAGCACTCGTGCTCAGGCTGAGACCCAACTGTGCTGGGAAGCTATGTCAGACTCGGAGGACTCACAGCTGGAAGACATCATAGACACTCACAAACGCAGACAGGCAACAAGAGCAGGACAGAGGGAGGCAATGGGGCGACTCCCCCTTGACTTTGCCTGTCAGAAGACCGCAAAAGAGGATCACGTGACCCCGGGACACTGCGACCGTCATAAATATGAGAAAGTTGCCAAACAACCAAAATTTGATCACGTGACCACGGAGATGCTGCAACAGTCGTGTGAAAACCGGTCATAAGTCACTTTTTTCAGCACCGTTATAATGGCACTGAAAAGAGTGACTTATGACCGGTTTTCACACTTACGACCATGGCAGCATCAGTCACTAAATGAATGGTTGCAAGTCAAGGACTACCTGTACAAAGATATTTTTAAAAATGTATATTTTAAAATGTATAAGCCTATCTGTGCATAAGCCAAATGCAAATTTTGGGGGTATATTATGGCACTTAAAATTCTTGGCTGGTTCGCGAATATATACAGAAAATTGACTTATTTGTAGACGTTATCATAAGCCAGGGGTAGGCAACCTTGGCTCTTTTATGACTCGTGGACTTCAACTCCCAGAATTCCTGAGCCAGCATGGCTCAGCTTGGAAACCTCTCCCTTTCCCCTCAGCATGGCTGGCTCAGGAATTCTGGGAGTTGAAGTCCACAACTCATGAGGGGGCCATAGTTCCCCCATGCTGGCTCAGGAATTCTGGGAGTTGAAGTCCACGAGTCATGAGGGGGCCATAGTTCCCCCATGCTGGCTCAGGAATTCTGGGAGTTTGAAGTCCCCGAGTCATGAAGGGGCCATAGTTCCCCCATGCTGCCTCAGGAATTCTGGGAATTGAAGTCCCCAAGTCATGAAGGGGCCATAGTTCCCCCATGCTGGCTGAGGAATTCTGGGAGTTGAAGTCCATAAGTCATAAAAGAGCTAAGGTTGCCTACCCATCATAAACATTCTACAGTGACTGAAGTTACAACAGCACTGAAAAAATGGACTTTTGACCATTTTCCACAGATCTGACCCTTGGTCGCGTGATCAAAATTCAGAGGCTTCTCAAGTGACTCGTATTTACGACGGTCGCAGTGTCCCGGGGTCAAGGGATCCCCTTTTGTGACCTTCTAACAAGCGAAGTCAAATGGGGGAAGCCAGATTCACTTAACAACCGTGTTGCTAACTTAACAACTGCAGCGATTCACTTCACAACTGTGGCAAGGAAGCTCATAAAATGGGGCAAAACTCACTTCACAAAGGTCTCCCTTAACAACAGAAATTTGGTCTCCGCTGTGGTCGTAAGTCAAGGACTACCACAGCCCCAAAGCGGGATTGTGAAACTTTCACGTCCTTCCATTTACTTTTACTGGCCCAATAACTACACACACTAAAAAGTAAAGAGATACCGGAAAACAGAAGGGAAGAATATTAGTTGTGTTCTCATCTTGAGTTATTTATAAAGTGTAATAAGATAAGATAACCTTTATTGTCATTTTTTTACTGTGGGCACAACGGCACACATCAAAAATGAAATTTAGTTGCCCGCTCTCAAAGTGAAACACATACATGACAGGCAAGATAAAACTCTAATAAATAATCTGTTCAGTCATCTAGGCATGAAATAAGCTCACTGCCATTGAGGCCAAGGTCAGCTCTCTTCCCCCTCGCCCCCAACATTTCAACTCTTCCTTATTTTCCTTCCTTGCCAACCCCTGTAGGTTGATCTGTGGGTTTGTGAGAATTGTGCAGCCGTGTGACAAAAAAAACCTGGCTGCGTGACAAAACCCGATGATTCCCACCTGCTGGACGCCTTTGTCTCGGTGACCTAACTGTCTATTCGCCCATGGAAATCCGGTGCTTGGCAAGCGGAAAACCCACAAAACCGAGACAGGCGCTACTGTGTGCAAACAGACCGGCTCCCATCATCCCACAGAAACCGTAACTTGGAAGTAATAAAAAAAGTTCGGGAGAAAATTGCCCTGGTTTCACCCGAGGGCAGCAAAATTCTCTGGGAAAAACAGGGGGAGAGGCTCGTGATTTAAAATGTCCACCTTTGGAAAAGTACAACTGACAACTATTTGTTTGGTGACAATGGCATTCCAAAAAGTGATTTATGACTGTTTTTTACCCTTACGACCTTTGCAGCATCTCCGTGGTCACTTGAACAAAATTCGGAGGCTTGGCAACTGGCATGTACTTATGAAGGTTGCAGTGTCCCCCGGGGTCATGTGATCCCCTTTTGCAACCTCCTGACAAGCAAAGTCAATGGGGAGAAGCCAGATTCACTTAACAACCGTGTTAATAACTTAACAACTGCAGTGATTCACTTAACAACAGTGGCAAGAAAGATCGTAAAATGGGACAAAGCTCACGGATCAGCTGTCTCGCTTAGCAACAGAAATCTGGAGCTCAGTTGTGGTTGTAAGTCAAGGACTACCTATAAGGGGGGGAAAATGCTTCTGGTTCTCCATCCCATTAGCCTACTCCAAGGAAAAATAAAAGAGGACAATTTGGAAAAAAGGGATTTTTTGTTAAAAGTGCCTGCTGTTCTTTTCGGCACACTCCCTTACGGTCGTAAGGTGAGGACTACCTGCGCAGATCTGTGCCAGTCATTGAAGAAAGGTTGTAAAATCAGGTCGGTTACGTGGGTGACCTGTTGTTGTTGTTGTTTGTATATATTTTATTAATTTTTGTAGGGTTAGGGTTAGGGTTAAGGTTAGGGTTGGGGGTTTTTTAAATAACATTCTTAATATTTAGCAAATAGCATAATGTCTGGGTACATGCTTTTAAAAAACAGTAAGAGTTAATTTCTATATTATCATAATCAATATGTTAGTTAATCGCTCAATAGTCTTCTTCTTACTAGTATATATTCAATGTTACACAGTCCGTATCATGTTCTTTTTCTCTACCTCACTTTTCTAGCCATTGGTAAAAATTGCCCCATGTTCTAAAGTACGCTGAGTCTTCTTTCTTTTTTATCTTTAATGTCAATCTGTCCGTTTCTGCACAATCTAAAATTTTCTTAATTAGTTCTTCTTCCATTGCTAAGTTTTCATTTTTCCAATATTGGGCAAATACAATTCTTGCTGCAGTTAATACATGTAATTTTTTTTTTTTACAAAATAAGCCACAATTATAACCGGCTCTCCAGTCATTAATTTTATAGTAAAAGAAGATCGGTTTGAGCAAACAAAGGAATTACAGTCGCTGATTCACTGAACAAGGAAGAGTATTTAAAAGAATTCCACGTCAACCCTTAAATACAGGTAGTCCTCAGCTTACGACCACAACGGAACCCAAAATTTCTGTTGCTAAGAGAGACAATTGTTAACTGACAATTGCCTCATTTTACCACCTTTCCTGTCACAGTTGTTAAGAGAATCACGGCAGTTGTTAACTTCGTAACCCGGTTATCTGGCCTTTCCCCCCTTGTCAGAAGGACACAAAAGGGGATCACACGATCCCGGACATCGCAACCGTCATAAATATGAGTCACATGACACCCCCCGGGACACTACAACCGTCATAAATTTTTTCTGCGCCGTTGTAATGTTGAACGGTCATTACGTCGAGGACCACCGGTACCGAAGAAGCAGTCGCTCACAATTAAATACTTACCCTTGTCCAATCTTCTCAAAACTGGTATATTTCTTCTTGGGATCCCCAATGCTCACGATGCCTCCTTTTAAAAGAAAAAGCAAAAAAATGAAATCAAATTCTAATTCTGCAGTTCAAGCTTCTTGCGGTTTAAGCAGACATTAATTTCTTGGAAATACAGTTAATTTTCGAAGGAAAAAAAACTGAAAGTTCACATTGTGGGACTTAAGACCTCAGTAACTTTTTTCAACGTTGATGTTTTTCCTTTTAGTGCAACTTGATCCATGCACAAACTCACTGGGCAAGCGTTAAATTACAGACATTATCAGTTTCCTTCATTTTAAAACTAAGTAAAATAATATCGCCTAAGTACGGATGGGAAACTTCCAGACAAACCTCTGAGGTAAAAATAATCCCTGTTCAAAGCTTTGCCTCTCAAAATATAAGCAGAATATTATTATTATTATTATTATTATTATTATTATTATTATTATTATTATTATTATTATTATTATTATTATTATTATTGTTATTAATAATAAAGTTGGAAGGGACCTTGGAGGTCATCTAGTCCAACACCCTGCTCAGGCAGGAAACCCTATACCATTTCAGACAAATGGCTGTCCAGTCTCTTCTTAGCTCCCCATCCTGCTTTGTTTCATCTAAGAATTTGTCAGCCACTCAGTCTTCTGCTAGAAGTGGTTCTGATGGACCTATTACAGTTAGTCCTCGACTTACGACAACCGTTGAGCCCAAAAATTCTAGTGCTAAACAAGACAGTTGTTAAAGAGATTTTTGCCCCATTTTACGACCTTCCTTGGCACGATTTTTAAGCAAATCACTGCAGCTCTTAAGTTATTCACAGGGTGTCTATGGAGATCCTCCATCCTCCAGGTCAGGGTTGCCCCAAAGATGCTTTTTCATGAGGCAACTGGACTTTCTTGTTTTTTCTTTGAAGACGTTTCGCTTCTCATCCAAGAAGCTTCTTCAGCTCTGACTGGATGGTGGGGAGTGGAAGGATTTATACTCCTTGCAGACAGCTGGTCATTTGCATTTTTAGAGGGTCATTGAGACCATTTGGAGGTTAATCTGTGTCTTCAGGGTCACCTGAATAATAAAAATGGGTGTGGAGCCTTCTTGGAACTGTAGACTGGAGATCCGTGGTGTCGTATCCCTCCCCCCCATTAAGAGAGGGCTATTCAGTTTGGACACAGATGGCCTCTTTGACCTCTCTTTCAAACCAGCGGTTCCTCTCTGTCCAAAATGTGGACTTTGCTGTCTTCGAACGAGCGGCCTTTGTTTTTTAAATGCAGATGGACTACTGAATCTAGTCCTTTAAAAAAAAATCCATTTCCTTTTCTTCTATTTCTATACATTCTTTTATCTTTTAATAGCGATTGATTCAGTGTCCACCTTCATTTCTTCTTTACTCCTCTCCAGGTCATTTTTATCAGATGATGGTCAGCCCAATTATTGGGTTCTATCTCAACCTCCTATATATTTGATTCTTAGTTCAGGGAACATCCATATCATATCAGTTCTGGACCACGATTTATATCTGTTCGAATAAAATGTATACTGGGTCTTTTTTAAGTCCCTTTCTCTCCAGACACGTATCTCTTCATCATCTGGGAAAAAAGCTTTAGGGAGTCTGTCTTTCTTTTTTTCTCTATTTTGTTGTTAGTTGCGAAGTCGTGTCCGACCCATCGCGACCCCATGGACAACGTTCCTCCAGGCCTTCCTGTCATCTCTATTTTACTGTCTTCTCTATTTTACTGCTTGTGTAATCTAATTTTCCATCCCCGATTGCACTATCCTACTAGACAAATATTTTGATATTCCATTTCCAATATTTTCCTGTGTAGTTTTTGATAAAATTCGTCTTGTTTATTGTTTGGTGCACATATTACTATCATCAATATCTTTTTTTTTAATTTATCATTGTTTCCACCATTTAAGAATCTTGCTGAATCCGGTCCTGATGAGTTTGTTCTCCTATGTTGCGCCGTGCGTTTGTGAAGTGGTTGTTTCGTTTCCCCATTGTACAGATCTGCACACGGCTCACTGCATTGTTATTCACACAGTTTGCTTCTCCGAAGGTGGCAAATGGGAATCAACCCCGAACACTGCGACGGTCATAAATATGAGTCAGTTGCCTAGCCGACTCATATTTGTTCATGTAACCACGGGGCCATCAGTCTGAAAAACAGCCACAAGCCCCTTTCTTTAGTGCCATTGTGACTTTGAATCCGGGTCCTAGGGTGGTCCATCGTAACTTTGAACGGTTGCTAGGCACTAAGTTGTAAGTCGAGGACTGCCTGTCCTATAGTTGTGAGTCTCTAGCCCTGACAGTCCTGCTTAACACATTCCATCTATTTAGAGAGGCAAAGCATCACACATCACACCACAAAGCGACCAGGGAGACACTTCTGAAAGCCTTTCAAACACCCATTGTGCGAAAGCTTGCACTTTGCCCGTTAGCACCGGAGGAGACGGCTTAACACAAAACAGGGCAAGGAATAATTTTTGTCGGCAATCACAATTAAAATACCGCACCCCCCACCCCAATGCAATACAGGTAGTCCTCGACTTACCACAGTTCGTTTAGTGACCGTTCCAAAGTTGCAATGGCACTGAAAAAAGTGACATGATCCTTTTTCACACTTACGACCGTTGCAGCACCCCCGTGGTCACGTGATCAAAATTCAGCCGCTTGGCAACTGACTCGTATTTATGACGGCTGCAGGGTCCCGGGATCACGTGATCCCCCTCTTGCGACCTTCCGACAAGCAATGGGGGAAGCCAGATTCACTTAACAACCGCGTTATTAACTTAACTGCAGTGATGCAGTTAACGACCATGGCAAAAAAAAGTTTGTAAAACGGGGCAAAGCTGACCAATGTCTCGCTTAGCAACAGAAATTTTGGGCTCAACCGTGGTCGTAATTCGAGGACTACTTGTATTTTTCCCCCCCTTCTCCTATCCCTCTCGACGTTCCACTTCAAAAGAAATCTTACTCAATTTTTCCAGGATTTCTTCATCGGTCATTTTAGGTTTTTTCTTCTGTTTCTCGGCATTTCTCGCCAGAGTATCGGGGGGCGTGACGCTGTTTTCGGAAGGGGAGGGGATGGGAGAGGTCGTCACATCCCTGGTGGGGGCTGGAGGAAGAGGTTCGATCACAGAGCGGGTGTAAATCTGCATTTTTGGGGAGGAGAGAGAGAGAGAGAGGGAGGGGGAAAGAGAGGGAGGGAGGGAGAG